CATTTACACCAAAAACCAGAATTTTCTTCATTCCATCTTCTTCTGCTCCCATTTGCATCTTGGCACAATATTCAAACAAACTCCCATCATAACATCATCTGATCACTTCTTTAGCCAGAAAACCCTCTTCGTCCCTCGCTAAAACATAGAGAACTCCCCATTCCAATTTGCTGGCAACCCTACAAAATCAAAATACAGAACAAAATTAAACCACCAACAAATGAAATGTAGAATAGCACAGATTTAGACTAACGATACAGACCATCCAAAGATGTCAAATGCTTGACGGTTGCCTTCAGTCATATTCCACAATTCTCCGAGCGTAACCTTATCGGGCACCGTGCATGCGTACTTGCTAAACATGTTCTCAAAATTCACAGGAAAGTACCTACAACATGGAATTCAATACCTTTCGAGAGAGTGTATACTTTAATGGGTAGTCAAAGAAATATATATATAAGTATGCACACCTTCCTTCAGTGTCATAGGTTCCACTATCACTTCCATGCTTGGCCTTGTGCATGTTATAAATGTAAACTGGAAAGAAAGGAGAAGGTATCCAGCCCTAAAAGAATGAGATAATAAGTATACCTTGTTAGGAGTATGACTCAAATAGGAGTCTTTTGAAGAGGCGTATTCGACTTGGACTAGGAGAATATTAACCTAGGGTTTAAGGAAACTAAGTTGAATAAGGAAACAAAATTATGTTGAAATTGGGTCTCCTAATTTTAATATATTTTCTTACCTTTTAGGACTCTTCTAGGGTTGGTCTATAAATATGAAGCTCCTCTGGTCTATTTGTAAAGAGATTAATACAGAAGCAGTATTGTTAGTCTGTCTTGTATTCTCCATACTGTTAAATTAATAAACATCGTTCCTCTACATTTACCTTTAGTGTTCTTTCTTTATAAATTCAATCTTGTGTTTTGTGGTGTGATCTTGTATACTTCAATATTGTCATTAAATCTCGTTCTTTATAATTAGATTTGGAATCAACGTGTGTTATTGGAATTTCCGCGCCCAACAAGTGGTATTAGAGCGAGGTTGTTGATTTTCTATGGATTGGTTGAGATTCTTTCAAGATGGTTGGGTTGAAGTATGATATTTCACAACTAGATTGCAATACAAGATTTTCTTTGTGGCAAGTAAATATAAGGGTTGTTCTAATGCAGTTGGATTTGGACAATGCGTTGCTGGGTTTTGAGAAGATGCCAGCTGATTGGACAACGAAGGAGAAACAACGGAAAGATCGGAAGGCTGTTTTATTGATTCATCTTCATCTGTCCAACAAATTCTGTAGGATGTCTTGAAGGAGAAAACGACGACTGCTTTTTGATTAAAGTTGGAGCAGTTGTGTATGATTAAGAGTCTTACAAGTAAACTGGCTCTCAAGCAGAAACTGTATTCACACTGCATGACGGAATGAGAGTCGTTGGAAGACCATATTACCGTGTTCAAGGAAATAGCTATAGATCTGGAGACTTTAGAGGTTAAGTATGATGAAGAGGATCTTGCCTTGATCCTATTGTGTTCGCTGCCTGGATCTTATGCATCGTTTCGAGATACTATCTTGTATAGTTGAGATACTTTGACTATAGAAGATATTCTATGATGTTTTGCACTCAAAAGAGAAAATGAAGCATTTGGTTGGAGCTACATCAAAGGATGGGAAAGCTCTTGTATCTCAAGGTGGTCGACAAAGAGGCAAATCAAGAGTTAGATTTAGTAATGTGACCTGTTACTACAGCAAAAGGAAGGGACATATTTGAAAGGATTGCGATATGTTGCAGGCTAAAGGTGATTTAGCTGTAAATCGTAGGATGCAACATTTGAATTCAGATAAAACCAATGTAGTTGAGAATTATTCAAATGGCGAGGATGTAATGTTGACCGTGGTATCTGATGCGGAGTCTAGGGCTGACGAGGAGTGAATTCTTGATTCAGCATGTTCGCATCATATGTGTTCCAATAGGAATTTATTTCAAACATATGAAATTGTTCAACAAGGTGGAGTTGTAATGGAAAACAACCAATCTTGCCGTATTGCTGGCATCGATCGAGTCAGATTGAGGCTACGGGATGGAATATTTAGAACAATTGATTAGGTTCAACATGTTCCTAACCTGAAAAGGAATCTCATTTCGTTGAGTACTTTGGATGCAAAAAGGTATAAATTCTCTGAAAGAGGTGGAGTCTTGAAGGTCTGAAAGGGAGTCTGGATTGTACTGGAGGGACGGAAAAGATCTCAGTTGTACATTTTGCAGGAGAGTGCAGAACCAGTTAAGTGGAGACATTTGGACAAGTTTAGTACCGTGGTGGAAATTCAGTTTGGTATAGTACCTCTTGTGCTGGGCTCCGAGTCGATTCAGAACACTGCTAGAAAGAGCGTTGGTGATCTCGCTTTACCACCAATTTCAATGGGTACACCGTGTTCAATTGTTGGGGTAGGATTCATCAAGCATAGGTACCGCAGTGTCAACAATATCTGGGATGCTTTTAGAGACGTTGAAGGCGACAGTTCTAGCAAGGGGCCTTTTGATCAAGCATCGGTTTGGTTCTTACTACAGGATGTGTTTTGGTCCTATACGATCAACATTAATTCCTTGATGGAATTGGGAACCCTAGGAAATGGGTTCGGGTATCGGTTGTGGACGCCGAGCAGAGGACGAGTGTTTGGTTTATATGGAGTGGTTACTGTGTTGAGGAGATTCGACCAGTTCATTTCGTTGCAAACGGATTTGAAATTTGGGAGTTTCGTTCGTTACACCGAAATTTGAGTCAATGTGGAGATTGTTAGGAGTATGACTCAAATAGGAGTCTTTTAAAGAGATGTATTCGACTTGGACTATGAGAATATTAACTTAGAGCTTAAGAAAACTAAGTTGAATAAGGAAACAAAATCTCGTTGAAATTGGGTCTCCTAATTGTCATATATTTTCTTGCCTTTTAGGACTCTTCTAAGGTTGGCCTATAAATACGAGGCTCCTCTGGTCTGTTTGTAGAGAGAGTAACATAGAAGCAATATTGCTAGTCTGTCTTGTATTCTCCATACTATTGAATTAATAAACATCGTTTCTCTTCGTTTACCCTTTGTGTTCTTTCTTTACAAATTCAATCTTGTGTTTTCGTGGTGTGATGTAGTATACTTCAATATTGTCATTAAATCTCGTTCTTTATAATTCGCTTTGGAATCAACGTGTGTTATTGGAGCTTTTGCGCCCAACATACCTAGGATGATTCAAATAGACAACTGCGTAGGATGATGACGCCTTTCTCTTATCGTCTTCTTGATAACTTCAATAGTAATTTGTTCTGAGCAATGCTACCTGTTAAGGAAAATGCTACATGGAAACATTTCATTGAATTTTAAACAAAAGGATGCTGCCATATTAGCACTTATAAAACTGTCGTTCACTTCTCCGTACAAGTATCGTTTCTCCTATGTTCTAACATCTTGAAAAGTTTTTAGTATTGGTATAAAGGCTCATTAACATTCAAGAAGTGTTGGGTGGCTCAATGCCACGTTAATGACAATAGCTATTATAAGAGATGCAATTGCGTTGAACCCGATTTGACGAAGTCCTAGGAAAATAATCTAAGAATTTGAAAAGAGAATGAAAAAGATAGAAAAAAGTATATGCAGAGTAATGTATTACCAACATAAAATTCCCACGGATAAACAATTCCATTGTCATCTTGGTCGAAGAAAGCTACGTGCTGTTGAAGAATGGTCAAGTTGTTATGCACATGGCCCGGTGTTCCCGTGGGATGGTACATATCGGACGCAACCAATCCTCTTGGCATATCTTAATTCTCGTATAGCAGAGAAGAGAGCAAGATTGTAAATGTATAGCAAAAACACATGTTAATATATAAAAAATATATTTAAATATGAAATTACGAAAAAAAAAACAAACAAACAAACACTATAGTGGACCTGTCGTGACAAATGTTTATATGCCCCAATTGAATTAAAATCTAAATCAAAACCATCAATAAATTTTAAATGATAAAATGGATCCGTAACTTTTTAAGTATATATTTTATCAATTTTTATTAAAACCTACTAAAAATCTGATTTGGCTATTGTTTATTGTTTTGTATATCAAGATACAAGAACAAAATGGACAAGAGAAGAACTTACAGGGCTTCGGAATGGATGTTTCTAATTCTGTACGGACTGGCTGCTCTACCGTCACCGACGCTAGTGGCGCCTCCAGTGATAGTGCAGGATTTCTCTCCACCACACCAACTGTTGCCATCTCTTTCTCTGTCTCTCAATAGAATACTTGAAAGATTTCACTAATAGGATATAGAATATAGATATAGTTAGAGAAAATAATTTGGAAATAATTTATATAGCAATTTCAAACAGCGTGGCAGACATGCAGGACTATAGGCCATTTACTTTTGACATGTATACCGGCCAGGGGCGGAGCCCCACCCGCACTAAACTTTTGGGCTCCAATAGGCCCAAAAATATATTTTTTTTAAAGCTTGGTTCAATCTTCAACCCAGATGGAAGCCCAATTACCCACAGCCCATGACCTGTTTACTGACCCAAACCCGGAATGTTTGATTCAAGTCATTCAATTAACCCAAAATCAAAACCAAACCCTTGAATCAGAATCGCGTCTCTCTCCATCTCTCGACTCTGGCCCTACTTCTCTCAAAACTCCGACTCACAGTCGCTGGCTTCTACTTCCAGTCTACCGACGGTCGGCATTTCCTAGATTAAGAGCTCTAATCTCCAACCCAGTAAGTGTATCTGGTATCCCCAAAGTCAAAACCCCAATCCTCCCCCACTGCAAGTCCGCAACTGCCATTCTGCCAACTTTAACATCGAACAACATCACCGCCTCCCGCCAGCTGTCGCCTACCAGGCCAACTAAAGAAGAAGAACTGAAGAAGCCATAACCCAGAAGAACAAAGAAGGTGACTTTGATTTCAATTTTAGCCTCCAATTTCAATTTTTTCAGCATAGTGATGATTTTGATTTTTTTTTTTGGAGCTAATGGTTTTAGGGTTTAGGGATACTGGATATTTCAAACTAGCATGAATCTGTAGTTTGAGAAGAACTAACTTAGCAAAAATAGTTGGGATTGAGTGGAATAATACTTGCTAACTTCCATTGCGTTCGACAGGGCACTCACTTTCGGTGTTGGAGCCGTCACCGATACCTGCTTTGGATTGGAAATTGCGAACCACTGTGTGAAATTGTAAGTTCAAGTTGCTTAAGATTTAGAAATAGTATAAATTGCATTGTGAAACTGCGAATTTGAAGGTGAATTGATATTGTGAAATTGGATTGATAGTGTGAAATTGTGAATTGTATTGTGAAATAGTATAAATTGCATTATGAAATTGCGAATTGGAAGATGAATTAATATTGTGAAATTGAATTGATAATGTGAAATTGTGAATTGGATTGTGAAATGAGATTGTGAAATGAGATTGTGAAATTGTGACTGTATGATTCTTTTGTCATTATGAATTATTCTCACTCACTCCAGTAATATTTGGATATCAAATGTTTAAATCCAGATATCAAATGAATAGATACTTTCAACGAAAAAGGAACTTAGATAATGTTGATAAGGAGGTATCAAATAATGTGGAATTTGATGTCACAAAACTTCCAACTGATCCTGGTCTAAGGATACCCATTTTGGATTATAATGCTAACATCCAAGATGAAGTTCGGAGAGCATATATCTTAAAGGGTCCTTGTCAGCCCCAAGATCATGACTTTCCAAAACGACAATTTGGAGTAACAATTATACGATTCAATCCTTCGTGGTTTAAAGAGTTCAGTAATTGATTGGAGTACAGTGTAGAGAAGGATGCTGCTTATTGTTTGTATTGTTATCTTTTCAGAACAAGTTCTGGAAAGTAAGGTGGAGGTGAGTCTTTTGTTGGCGAAGGTTTTACATATTGGAAAGATAAAAAAAAAAGGGTTCATACTCATGTTGGACTTCATGATAGTGCACCTAATCAAGCTCGCATTAAGTGTGAAGTGTTGATGAATCAAGAGCAACACATTCAACCAGTTTTCTACAAACAGTCAGAACAAGCAAGAAGTGCATATGTTATACGTCTTACTGCATCCATTGATTGTGTTCGACTTCTTTTGCGACAAGAGCACTCATTTCAAGGTCATGATGAATATGAGGATTCTCTCAATCCAGGTAACTTCTTAGTGCAATTGCAATTTTTGGCTGCTCATAATGAAGTTATTAATGCCGTCACATTGGGAAATGCTCCTCACAATTGCAAATTGACATCACCCGATGTGCAAAAGGATATAGTAAATACTTGTGCTATTGAAACGATCAATGTTATTATCAAAGATGTTGGCGACTCACTATTTTCTATTCTAGCTGATGAATCTCGTGATGTGTCAATGAAGGAGCAAATGTCTATTATTTTATGTTATATAGACAATAGTGGGCATGTCAATGAACGCTTCATAGGGATTGAACATGTTACAAGTACCACGGCTCTATCACTTAAGGCTGTAATTAATAAGGTATTTTCTAGATATAACTTGAGCATGTCTAGATTGAGAGGACAAGGTTGTGATGGAGCAAGTAATATGCAAGGTAAGTTTAATGGTTTGAAAACACTCATTTTGAAGTAGAGTCCATATGCCTTTTACATTCACTGTTTTGCTCATCAACTCCAACTTGCACTTGTGGCTGTGGCAAAGAAGAACATCTCTATTACTAACTTCTTTCGTGTGGTTGGGGCATGATAAATACTGCTGGAGCATCTTCCAAACGTTGTGATCTTCTTCGAGAAAAACAATTAGACTTTATTGTTGAAGCATTGGAAAAAGGTGAGATTTTAAGTGGACGGGGACTTAATCAATAAACGACCTTTCAGTGCTCTAGTGATACATGATGGAGTTCACATTATAATTCTTTGGTCAACTTGCTTGCCATGTTCTCTTCTGTTTTAGATGTACTTGCAATGATTGTTGAAGATGAATCTTGTTCTTATGATCAAAGATCTGATGCAACAAATTTATTGGAGTCGATACAAAAACTTGATTTTGCATTTAATCTACAGTTGATGAGAAGTGTTTTGAGGATGTCAAATGAACTATCAAATGCATTGCAGAGGAAAGATCAAGATATTGTGAATGCAATGCAATTGGTGAAATTGTGCAAACGACGACTTCAAATAATGAGAGACGAAGGATGGAACTCCTTTTTGGAAGAAGTATGTTCTTTTTGTCAACAACATTACATTCATGTACCCACCATGGATGATATGTTTGTACTCTTGCACTTCGTGGTCATCCTCAGCGTAATTCTCCAGAAATTACAAATTTACATCATTACCGAGTAGATTTGTTCTATTCTGTCATTGATTTACAACTTCAAGAATTGAATGATCGTTTCTCGGAGGTAAATACAGAGTTACTCCTTTGTGTAGCTTGTTTATGTCCACAAGATTCATTTTCTTCTTTTGACAAGAAAAGTTTGATTAGACTTGCTGAGCTTTATCCATTAGATTTCTCTGAAGTAGATGTCATTGTACTTAACAATCAACTTGAGACTTATATTTTCGACATGCATTCTAACAAAGAGTTTGAAGGGTTGAATAACCTTGGTGATCTTGCGGAGAAGTTAGTTCTGACAAAGAAAGATAGGGTATATCCATTGGTTTACAGAATTTTGACTTTGGCATTGATTTTACCGATTGCTACAGCTAATGTGGAGAAAGTCTTTTCTGCAATGAGCATCGTAAATGATAGATTGCGCAATCGGATGGGTGATCAGTGGATGAATGATAGCACAATTGTTTATATAGAGAAAGATATATTTTTGAAGCTTGACAATGAAGTTATTGTACAACGATATCAAAATATGAAAACTCGCAAGGAACAAGTTTAATATATAAATTATTTCATTTTTAATATTGTTTTATTTTTTTATCATCATTAAATTTATGACCAAAACCTCGAAGTTCGGCATCGAAAAAAAATGATGCCCGCACTGATCTGGCTCCGCCCCTAATACCGGCCATCTGTCAATTACCTCCTCTTTATGAGAAAAATATGCAGCAGAATCGACCTTCCTATGTACCAACAAGAAAAAATTAATTTCGATTGAATTATGTAATAAACAAAGAACTTTGATAAATTTGTTTCGCAAAATACTTTTGAACTCTTCTGTTTTAAAGAAATATTTTCAAAATCTAAATTTTGAAAACTGGTGGCTCTTGCTTTGGAAAGACAGAGGCTTGGTGTCTAATTACTGAATTTCCATGAACTGAAGTGAACATGGTCTGATGGGATGCTTCATTCAAGGCAGTTATGAATAGAATGGAATAGCGAAAAAGAATTCACGTAATTGATCCACAGTTTATCAAGAATAAGAGTTATTGTTGGTTGTTGTTTAAAAGGCAAGTTGTAAATTATGATCTTATTGGACCAGCGATGCACACAATGCACATCTTCTTTTCCAGACGACTGGAACTAAATATCTACATGTACCAGTTGCCCTACTTGCTATTCTTGATAGAATTGGCATGGAGCAACCTTGATTGCTTGTTTGGTAAGGTGAACTCTACGTTACTAGATGTTGATTAAGAATGAAAACAATGTTAAATTATTGTCTAATGTACCGTGCAATCGTGTTTAACTGCGTACAAGGCATTCCCTGTGCAATGGGGCTACCGGCATGAGACGATTTTTTATTGTTTCTTATTGTCCCACCCTTCTCCAAGTATATTTAAGTTAAGAATAAAAAATGTACATTCAAAACCATCTGTTCCTTTTGCTGCTTCTTTTGTAGAATGCCTTGAATTGTTTCTTATTTTATTATTATCTTTATTATTTCCTAAATTATGAGCCTTGATGACGAATTTGGTGGGGTTGATTAGGCAATACTGGATAGTATTAAGAAAAAATGAAATTAAAATCTTGTTAGTTATAGAGTCTCGTCCTGTCTAATCTTGTGTACCAAACACACCCTTATGGTTTTACATGTACAAGGCAGATTGTAATTGAATGATCTTTGCAATGCAGGCCTTTCTTTCCCCTGATTATTAGAGGATGATTCTACAATGGAAAGATCACCTAGAATGTGTGAAGATCCTTGCATTATATTATCAGATTGAACAACTTTCAACTTCAAATTAATCACAACCCAATCGTTCGTGCTGTCATATTCTCTTCATGATTTCTAGTAATTTGATTGATTGATCACAGGTTTTTTCTCATCTAACTACTTTTAGGCTCGTTCAATATGCTAAGTTGGACAGGACAACATAAGACATCAATATCTCACATCTCATCCAACATTCTAAAGATGTCAGTATAGTTTCCCTAGAGAAAATTGGTTTCATCAATTTATTATACTAATTGAAAATTTGAAGAATGGAGCTATACGATATGAAATGAACAAGGAAAATCTAAATATAGATCCCATTTTCAAAGGTGAACTCATATAAAGTTGTACATTTTCTTGATGTTCTTAATACATAATCTACTACATCTCTTTCTGGGACAAACAAAGTACATTAAACTGACAAAACAATGATATCCAATCATGCAAGAAACCCAAGTCTTTCTCCATTTTTCTTTGCTAGTCGAATCAGTCCTTGCCTTTGTTTAGAATCTGCTCCTATTGATTTGCAAAATTCAGTAATTACCTACATATTTCAATGCAAATGGAAGTGTTAATTAGCATTCACAAATGGTACTTCAAACTGTGTATGAGCACGAAGAAATTAACGATCCTTGCTCGATTCATCATTATCTTTATATGTAATCTTTCAATCCTTAAAAATGTAATCTTTTGGTCTTATTAAGTATTGACGAGTATTAATAAGTTGTTACAAGTACCTGTGAGTGTAAAGCAATGGCTTTGCCTCTGAGCTGATTGAACCTCTTCTTGCCTATAATGTTCCTAGTGACTACAACAATTGGAGCAAAAAGACCTTTTCCTTCATTAACATTTTTCATCATAGGCTGTGATCGGACCGGACGCGCAACCCGAACGTTGGTTGGCGGCGCCACCGCCACCACGGGTTCGCCGACAATGGAAGTTCCCCAGCTTCCATGGAAAGAAGAAGAAACGACCCCTTTGAATCCAGTAGCAGAAATTGAAGTAGCCATTGAAACTTTCTGTGTTTGATGAAAATATTTTTGAGGTTATTGTAGATATGTTAGAATTTGTGTTAAAGATTTGATTTTCTTGTGTTTTGTGGTGTATGGAAGAGTGGTATGAGGAGGCATGTTGAGAGCCACACATCACTTGGTTGGCTTTGGATTTTTGATGTGATTTTTCTCAACACAGTAATGTTAGTTCAAATTTATATAAGGGTCCTCGTGTTCACAAGAAATTTTATGAAAAGTTTGGCATAGTGAATTTATTATTATATTAAAGAAAAAAAATTAAAAATTTAAAGACTGTCTAGATGTGCTTATAAGTATTATAACGAATTGGGGATCTCGTGCAAATAATTGTAACTCCTACTTTATTTACTTCTTAAAAAGAAAAGAAAACAAAACAAAACAAAACTTTTTAGTACGATAGAGAAAACAAATAGAATTAAGGGCTTGTTTGATATGGGATATTTTCCATTTTCCAACTTTTTGGTTATTTGATAGCAAAAGTTTTCCATAAAATTCATTTTCCATCTTTTCCCCACACATGTGCATTTTCCATGAATTGGTGGTTTTCCAGCCTTTTTTTTTTTCTTCTTTTTATTTTCAGCAATGGGAACAAATTTTATTCACAATTGTAAAAAAATATATCGTTTTAATTGACAATTTTCATAAAAAATAAAGTCAAATGAACACTAAAAGATTCAAAATTTCAACATTTTTTAGGTGAAAAATTATATCAATCAAACACATTAATTGACAATTCTCAGGAAAACAAGTTTTAGGCAATTCAATTCCCTCGAATTCGTTTTTTTTCCATCCAAATTTCATCATTGCAATCAAATGAACCCTAAATGCTAATAACATCGATAGGATTGAGTTGGGCCATATTGAGAGGCTCGGGACTCTTGCTTACGAGCCTGGCATGAGCTAAGTGGCTACATTTTTATGTAGTCGACTTGATCCTTGAAATGTCTCTTGATAGATCGAGTTGAATTTATGATTGTGTTGAACATTGCAGCATGATCCCTAACCTTTTGAAAAAAATGTAAATAGGTTCAAATCTATACTTTTTGGACTGCCATCCTGAATGTAACACGTATGGGAAAAAAATGTGCAGCCTAGAGACTTTTGGATGAAATTTGATTAAAAACCCATTAGCTAAGCCCGAAAATAGAACTTTCCCCCTTTCTGGAAGGGAAAATTTAATAATAATATTTATTCAACCAGTTTATTTAGCTAAGCGTGTAAATTGACCTTTGTCACCTCTCGGAAGGGCAAAATTAATAGGGGAAATTTGGCAAAAATGGTCTTAAACTTTTCTCCATCTTGTATTTTTCGTCTAAATCTTTGTATTTTTGGCGCAACGGGTCCTTTTGGATGGATTTCGTTCAAAGGGATTGTTACTTTTGATCTTTTTTATATTTGAAATAGTAAAAATGTCATATCTAAAACTAAAAGAAAAAAAATGATAAAAAAAATATAAAACCTACCAACCCACCCCTCACAACACCCAATACAACACCAATGCCACGCCACACCATGCCAAAATGATTAATTGTGCGAAGAATGTAAAGATTTGGGATTATTTGCACTAAAATTTAAAGGTTTGGAGTTTGGACAAAAACACAAGATGGACAAATGCTTGAGACCATTTTTTTTTCCCAATTTTCCAATTAATAACGATAATTATTCCCCTAAAAGAATTTTGGGAAGTGTTTGTAATATGTTTAAATTATAAATAAAAAGAAATATGTAATGGATAAATAAATAATACTTGTAGGTATTTCGAAATGTGTTGATAAAGTGAACTCCTTGAAAATTTGTGAAAAG